ACGAATAGCCAAAAAATGAACTAAACTGTATCATACAGATGTCCAATCCTTCTTGGACTCGTCAGTGAGGTTATGGGCCTAAATTACGAAATGTTGCAAGCGATTGAGAAAAACCAAATTTTAGTCGAACTAAATATCGCCGATATGTATCTAAAATATGACATATACATGCTTGTCTATAGGAGCGTATATCCTTTACCGAATATATACTTGGTACATATACTGATATATATTAGACCGGTCTGATCCAGGGTAGCGGGAAACAGTGATTTTCCTTTTCCCTGAAATCTTGGGACTTGTTTCAGGTATATCAGTTTTGTTATGAAAAATAACAAGCTTGATCTATTCTGTAAACAACAATGTAGTTTTATTAGAGAAATAAAAATGAAACTATTACCTGATTTCTAACTTGCAAAAAACATGGTTACTATCTCAAAAAATTTATTCACAAATACCTGTCTAATAGTAAGGGGTGATGTCACAGTAACAAAATCACTCATTTTTCACGGCGACTTAGTACAAAAATGTCATGATAAAGACTATGAAACTTCCAGCTGTCAACTGCAACAGTCATTCCAATTTAAAGTGAGAATAAAGTTTTGAAATTTTAATAAAAATCTTTATAATGGGGTATCTTGATAACAAGAACATCACACCAAGCCACAGCTAGAAATTCTGTACTACAACCTTGGAGAACGCATTAGCTGTTATTAACTCTGACTATACGAACAGAAGAGTTACGCCCCTTGACTAAATAGATAAACTAGTATATCTCAATCACTTATAGGCTTATAACAGAGACAAAATTAACTTTCAGAGTTATCATAAATTATTAAGACACTTTTAAAGAAGGACTCTCTCTCTCTCTCTCTCTCTCTCTCTCTCTCTCTCTCTCTCTCTCTCTCTCTCTCTCTCTCTCTCTCTCTCTCTCTCTCTCTCTCTCTCTCTCTCTCTCTCTCTCTCTCTCTCTCTCTCTCTCTCTCTCTCTCTCTCTCTCTCACTCTCTCTTGTTTACAATTGTTTCATGGTTATTATATCTTTCCTACTGCCACATTGTAAATATAATGTGTTGTGTATTAATATGTTTGGAAAGGGCTTTATATAAGTTGTAAAACTCGTGTCCAATCATATTGCTACTTATGTGCAATAAAATATGTTTAAATCAAAGATAAAGACGAAATCCTGCTTGTTTTGTATTTTTGTTTATGAAATAGCCAACACAGTATTTCTCTTTCCTTAAGAATCTCAATAATGCTATTTGATATATATAATGGTATCTTCTGTCTATATTTCAATATAAAGTTGATGTAAAATTTTAGCAGGTTAAGCATGGGAAAGCTACATATAATAACATAATCTTGATATTATACTAAAATCTGATACTCCGTCGTTTGTTCTGATAAAACTTAATATGTTTTTTAATATTTAATATTGTAGTCCTTTTCTGAACTTTTGCCTTTTTAAAACAAGAATCCAAATTCCTGTGAAATACATGGTTATAATAAAATACACACCCTTGTAGGCGTGAATATAATGGAGGGAAATGTTTATTCTATAGCTATACTTTCTGAGCGCTTGTGTTGTATGGGCGACAACTCTCACAGAAAAAAAGACAAAGATTGACTCCGGACATTCGTATTTCAACGAATATGTGACACTGGTACAGTATAATACATGTAACATCTCAAAATAGGACAGACAGACGATATAACGGTAAGACATCCAATACATTGGCATGGGCGGATTGTGAGGTCATTGGGTAAAAAGAAGGCTGGGCATTTGAGACTGATTAAATGTGTGTTGATATTGGGAATGCAGGATTATATGTAACAGGGCGTTTGTGATTGAAATTGATCAAATATCTTGACGGAAAGAAATAAGTTTGCTCAATTTCAGTATGTCAACTTCAAATAAGTAAAGGATTAAAAATAGATAGCTAAATGACATGGTTGATAAAATATGACTTGCTATTGAAAATCAAAGTGACTTGATATCCGAACAGTCACATTAAAGGGACTTGATATCCGAACAGTCACATTAAAGTGACTTGATATCTGGACAAGAACATTAAAGTGACTTGATTTCTGAACAGTGATATCAAAATGACTTGATATCTGAACATGAACATTAAAGTGACTTGATATCTGAACAGTGACACTAAAGTGACTTGATATCTGAACAGTGACACTAAAGTGACTTGATTTCTGAACAGTGACACTAAAGTGACTTACACTAAAGTGACTTGATATCTGAACATGAACATTAAAGTGACTTGATTTCTGAACAGTGATATCAAAATGACTTGATATCTGAACATGAACATTAAAGTGACTTGATATCTGAACAGTGACACTAAAGTGACTTGATTTCTGAACAGTGACACTAAAGTGACTTGATTTCTGAACAGTGACACTAAAGTGACTTGATTTCTGAACATTGACACTAAAGTGACTTGATTTCTGAACAGTGACACTAAAGTGACTTGATTTCTGAACAGTGACACTAAAGTGACTTGATTTCTGAACAGTGACACTAAAGTGACTTGATTTCTGAACAGTGACACTAAAGTGACTTACACTAAAGTGACTTGATTTCTGAACAGTGACATTAAAGTGACTTGATTTCTGAACAGTGACACTAAAGTGACTTGATTTCTGAACAGTGACACTAAAGTGACTTGATTTCTGAACAGTGACACTAAAGTGACTTGATTTCTGAACAGTGACACTAAAGTGACTTACACTAAAGTGACTTGATTTCTGAACAGTGACATTAAAGTGACTTGATTTCTGAACAGTGACACTAAAGTGACTTGATTTCTGAACAGTGACACTAAAGTGACTTGATTTCTGAACAGTGACACTAAAGTGACTTGATTTCTGAACAGTGACACTAAAGTGACTTGATTTCTGAACAGTGACACTAAAGTAACTTGATTTCTGAACAGTGACACTAAAGTGACTTGATTTCTGAACAGTGACACTAAAGTGACTTACACTAAAGTGACTTGATTTCTGAACAGTGACATTAAAGTGACTTGATTTCTGAACAGTGACACTAAAGTGACTTGATTTCTGAACAGTGACACTAAAGTGACTTGATTTCTGAACAGTGACACTAAAGTGACTTGATTTCTGAACAGTGACACTAAAGTGACTTACACTAAAGTGACTTGATTTCTGAACAGTGACACTAAAGTGACTTGATTTCTGAACAGTGACACTAAAGTGACTTGATTTCTGAACAGTGACACTAAAGTGACTTGATTTCTGAACAGTGACACTAAAGTGACTTGATTTCTGAACAGTGACACTAAAGTGACTTGATTTCTGAACAGTGACACTAAAGTGACTTGATTTCTGAACAGTGACACTAAAGTGACTTGATTTCTGAACAGTGACACTAAAGTGACTTGATTTCTGAACAGTGACACTAAAGTGACTTGATTTCTGAACAGTGACACTAAAGTGACTTGATTTCTGAACAGTGACACTAAAGTGACTTGATTTCTGAACAGTGACACTAAAGTGACTTGATTTCTGAACAGTGACACTAAAGTGACTTACACTAAAGTGACTTGATACCTGAACAGGAACGTTTAAGTCGCTTGACATATGGACATGGAAATTTTCAATAACCAAATACTTGGAAAGCGGCATTTGATAACATGCCTCCAGCTGATTAGATATCCAAGCGATGGGATTGGAATTTAATGGAGATTTTGGAATATTCAAGGTATTGTGATTAAACAGCGTCTGTCTGTTAGTAGTTTTAATAGATAATTAAAGAAAGAAAGAAAAAATGAAAGAAAGAAAGACAGAAAGAAAGAAAGACAGACAGACATAAAGAAAGAAAAAAAAAGAAAGAAAGACAGACAGAAAGAAAGAAAGAAAGAAAGAAAGAAAGAAAGAAAGAAAGACAGACAGACATAAAGAAAGAAAGAAAGACAGACAGACATAAAGAAAGAAAGAAAGACAGACAGACATAAAGAAAGAAAGAAAGACAGACAGACAGACATAAAGAAAAAAAAAGAAAGAAAGACAGACAGACATAAAGAAAGAAAGAAAGAAAGACAGACAGACATAAAGAAAGAAAAAGAAAGAAAGAAAGAAAGAAAGACAGACAGGCATAAAGAAAGAAAGAAAGACTGACAGACATAAAGAAAGAAAGAAAGACAGACATAAAGAAAGAAAGAAAGAAAGACAGACAGAAAGAAAGAAAGAGAAAGAAAGGAAGAAAGAAAGAAATAAAGAAAGACAGACAGACAGACAGACAGAAAGACAGAAAGAAAGAAAAAAAGAAAGAAAGACAGACAGAAAGAAAGAAAGAAAGACAGACAGACAGACAGACATAAAGAAAGAAAGACAGACAGAAAGAAAGACAGACAGACAGACAGACATAAAGAAAGAAAAAAAGAAAGAAAGACAGACAGAAAGAAAGAAAGACAGACAGACAGACATAAAGAAAGAAAAAAGAAAGAAAGACAGACAGAAAGAAAGAAAGAGAAAGAAAGGAAGAAAGAAAGACAGACATAAAGAAAGAAAAAAAGAAAGAAAGACAGACGAAAGAAAGAAAGAGAAAGAAAGGAAGAAAGAAAGAAAGGAAGAAAGAAAGACAGACAGACAGACATAAAGAAAGAAAAAGAAAGAAAGACAGACAGAAAGAAAGAGAAAGAAAGAAAGAAAGAAAGAAAGAAAGAAAGAAAGACAGACAGACAGACAGACAGACATAAAGAAAGAAAAAAGAAAGAAAGACAGACAGACAGAAAGAAAGAAAGAGAAAGAAAGGAAGAAGGAAAGAAAGAAAGAAGAAAAAAAGAAAGATAGACAGACAGACAGACAGAAAGAAAGAAAGAAAGAATAAGTCAGTTATAAAGGAGTGATTTCTCCTCCCTGATTCGCATGTCAACACAAGTAAAAAAATGTGTCGTCACACTGATTTCATGATAAAAATCATTGACAACAAACACCCGTCACCTCCATTTTATTAACTACATATGATTACAATCTATATGGATACTTTGAACACGTGGGTCTAGAGGGGCGTGGCATGCGACATCTGTACATTAGGTTGATTACTCTTGCATCTCCTTTGCTGATTCTACGAGAACGGCCGATCTGATTAAGATATCGTTTTCTGTTGTTGTCAGGCCGTGGTACGATTGTATAGTTACCATTTTTACTAAAAGCCTGCAAAGTAAACAGATTATGCATATAACAACTACACAGGACAGCATCTGCAGTCAAATCAAGGATCTGAAAAGATTTCATAACGATAATTTTTAAGAAGACAGATGCTCTATGAAAACATTCTGATGACGATGTCCTTAAGATATGAGGTAACATTCCTTATTAAGTGAAAATCAATTTGATAAAGATTTCGCTAAGTGTTCGGTACCATTCATATCTAAATTGATATCGATCAAAAACATTTAGAATGACACAACCAGTCGGTTCAATTCCAACTATCAAAACAATAAAAAACTCATCACGAGTAATTCATTTTCATCAAGAAATTATTAAATTTCATTCACTAATGCTAATTATACTTTCTTGAAATGAAAATTAAGTTTCCATTCGTCTTACTCTTCCACCTATCTGAATTCCAACCCATTTCGACCCCCATCCTCGGCTCATTCATCCATCCTATTAATTCTGCTACACTGTACCCACTCTGCGTCCCCACGATCTCCCCTGCCACTCTCCATTCTGCTACATGTAACTCTGCCACCCACACCGCAAATCGCCTGTCTTAAACCCTTCTAACTCCCTCATCCACTCTACTTGCTTAGGTGCACTGCATCCTCCCATTACCCCTCTACCCTCTGCCCCCCACCCCCACCCCCACCTCATCCCTTATTGGTCCCTTCTCGAGTTTTCTATCCGCCCTACTTGCGATGCTACACTGTGCCTATCCTGCACCCCCTTCCGCCAGTACTCGCAGGCACCTCTGCTCAACCTACTTAATCTGTTGCCTAACCTTCAACCGAGCCCTCTCTCGCCCTCCTCTTCGACCCCCTCCACCACTTATTCTGCTACACGGTGCCTATCTTGCACTCCCTTCCGCGAGTCCTCCCTGGCACCTCTGCTCAACGTACTTAATCTGTTACCTAACCCGCACCCAGGTCCTCTCTCGCCCTCCTCTTCGACATTTCCTCCATCACTTACTCTGCCTTACGGTGCCTATCCTGCATCCCTTCCCCGAGTCATCACTCCATCCTATTTACACTGCTACACTGTACCTTCTTCTTACGTCCCGGTCTCCATCCCTCTCCATTCTAATACCCGCATACCCCTCTCTCCGACCCCTCTCCTGTCATTCTCCACACTTATGCAACAGTACCTATTCTGCATCCCTCTCCCGCTTAGCCCCCGCCCCGCCCCGCCCCGCCCCGCCCCGCCCCGCCGCGCCCCGCCCCGCCCCGCCCCGGCCCGCCCCGCCCAACCCCGCTCCGCCCCGCCCCCGCCTCCGCGCCAGTCCTCCTCTCCTCCTACTTACCTTACTACCGTAATGCATGAGACTGAGATAGTCATAGTCAACCCCTCTGGAGTTGATGTTTTTCGGTCCTATACGGTTAAAGTTGATACGGCTTCTGCCGATGGTGTTCTGAAGTTGTATATCTACATACTCGTCGCGGTCCGGCCGAGAATGTTCATGAAATAATCCCAAAACGTGTAGTATTTCATGAGAGAACACGGCCGACTGAAAAAAAAAAATATACTTTAGAAAATATATTTTCGTGGAGCTCAATTTTTATGGTTTTTTTTTTTTTTTTTTTCAAAGCAAAAACTTTTTCGTGAGCACTTGATGATGTCGAATTATGTAGCTCAAAAATCCACTGATAACAGTGTGTGGGCACTTAGATTCGTGAATTATGAGTCAATGAAAAGAAATCCTCCATGGAAATTAATTAAATCATAATTAAGCATATTTTTAACATTTCTACAACACATTCTTTTATGTGAGATCTTGAATTTATCTTTCCGGTATCAACGATTTGAGATTTTATGTTTATCAACACCGTGAGATTTGATGTTTATCAAAAATGTGAGGTTTTATGTTTATCAACAATGTGAGATTTTATGTTTATCAAAAATGTGTGATTTGATGTTTACCAACACCGTAAGATTTGATTCTTATCAACAATGTGAGATTTTATGTTTATCAAAAATGTGTGATTTGATGCTTATCAACAATGTGTGATTTGATGTTTATCAAAAATGTGAGGTTTTATGTTTATCAACAATGTGAGATTTGATGTTTATCAAAAATGTCAGATTTGATGTTTATCAACAATGTGTGATTTGATGCTTATCAACAATGTGTGATTTGATGTTTATCAACAATGTGAGATTTGATGTTTATCAAAAATGTGAGGTTTTATGTTTATCAACAATGTGTGATTTGATGTTTATCAACAATGTGTGATTTGATGGTTATCAATAATGTAAGATACTATGTTTATCAACAATGTGAGATACTTACAGACCGACACCGCCTGGACAATATCATATCCTGTGATAAAGTTGAATGTTGATTACGAACAGACATCCCCACATATGACCTACACCTGAAAGATTTAAAAGTTTCAGATAAATAAAATTATTTCTCTAATACGATGTAATTTGTTCTATTATTTCTCTCAGTACAGATGGTTAATTTGTTAGTTCAATAATAAAATGTCCCCGTTTGAAATATAAAGATTGTCCCCGTGTTGAGTTTATCAACAGCTTATCGTAAAGATTGTCCCCGTTTATCAAAAATGTGAGGTTGAGTATATGATATATTAAAGATTGTCCCCGTGTTTGAGTATATGATAAAGATTGTCCCCATTTTGAGTATATTATAAAGATTGTCCCATTATTGAGTATATGATAAAGATTGTCCCCTTGTTGAGTATATGATAAAGATTGTCCCCGTGTTGAGTATATGATATTGTCCCCGTGTTGATGATAAAGATTGTCCTATGTTGAGTATAGTGTGATAAAGATTGTATGTTGAGTATATGATAAAGTGTTTGAGTATATGATAAAGATTGTCCCCGTGTTGAGTATATGATAAAGATTGTCCCCGTGTTGAGTATATGATTGTCCCCGTGTTGAATATGATAAAGATTGTTGATAAAAATTGTCCCCGTGTTGAGTATATGATAAAGATATATGATATAAGATTGTCCCCGTGTTGAGTATATGATAAAGATTGTCCCCGTGTTGAGTATATGATAAAGATTGTCCCCGTGTTGAGTATATGATAAAGATTGTCCCCGTGTTGAGTATATGATAAAGATTGTTCTAGTGTTGAGTGTGATAAAGATTGTCCCCGTGTTGAGTGTATGATAAAGATTGTCCCCGTGTTGAGTATATGATAAAGATTGTCCCCGTGTTGAGTATATGATAAAGATTGTCCCCGTGTTGAGTATATGATAAAGATTGTCCCCGTGTTGAGTATATGATAAAGATTGTCCCCGTGTTGATAAAGATTGTCCCCGTGTTGAGTATATGATAAAGATTGTCCCCGTGTTGAGTATATGATAAAGATTGTCCCCGTGTTGAGTATATGATAAAGATTGTCCCCGTGTTGAGTATATGATAAAGATTGTCCCCGTGTTGAGTATATGATAAAGATTGTCCCCGTGTTGAGTATATGATAAAGATTGTCCCCGTGTTGAGTATATGATAAAGATTGTCCCCGTGTTGAGTATATGATAAAGATTGTCCCCGTGTTGAGTATATGATAAAGATTGTCCCCGTGTTGAGTATATGATAAAGATTGTCCCCGTGTTGAGTATATGATAAAGATTGTCCCCGTGTTGAGTATATGATAAAGATTGTCCCCGTGTTGAGTATATGATAAAGATTGTCCCCGTGTTGAGTATATGATAAAGATTGTCCCCGTGTTGAGTATATGATAAAGATTGTCCCCGTGTTGAGTATATGATAAAGATTGTCCCCGTGTTGAGTATATGATAAAGATTGTCCCCGTGTTGAGTATATGATAAAGATTGTCCCCGTGTTGAGTATATGATAAAGATTGTCCCCGTGTTGAGTATATGATAAAGATTGTCCCCGTGTTGAGTATATGATAAAGATTGTCCCCGTGTTGAGTATATGATAAAGATTGTCCCCGTGTTGAGTATATGATAAAGATTGTCCCCGTGTTGAGTATATGATAAAGATTGTCCCCGTGTTGAGTATATGATAAAGATTGTCCCCGTGTTGAGTATATGATAAAGATTGTCCCCGTGTTGAGTATATGATAAAGATTGTCCCCGTGTTGAGTATATGATAAAGATTGTCCCCGTGTTGAGTATATGATAAAGATTGTCCCCGTGTTGAGTATATGATAAAGATTGTCCCCGTGTTGAGTATATGATAAAGATTGTCCCCGTGTTGAGTATATGATAAAGATTGTCCCCGTGTTGAGTATATGATAAAGATTGTCCCCGTGTTGAGTATATGATAAAGATTGTCCCCGTGTTGAGTATATGATAAAGATTGTCCCCGTGTTGAGTATATGATAAAGATTGTCCCCGTGTTGAGTATATGATAAAGATTGTCCCCGTGTTGAGTATATGATAAAGATTGTCCCCGTGTTGAGTATATGATAAAGATTGTCCCCGTGTTGAGTATATGATAAAGATTGTCCCCGTGTTGAGTATATGATAAAGATTGTCCCCGTGTTGAGTATATGATAAAGATTGTCCCCGTGTTGAGTATATGATAAAGATTGTCCCCGTGTTGAGTATATGATAAAGATTGTCCCCGTGTTGAGTATATGATAAAGATTGTCCCCGTGTTGAGTATATGATAAAGATTGTCCCCGTGTTGAGTATATGATAAAGATTGTCCCCGTGTTGAGTATATGATAAAGATTGTCCCCGTGTTGAGTATATGATAAAGATTGTCCCCGTGTTGAGTATATGATAAAGATTGTCCCCGTGTTGAGTATATGATAAAGATTGTCCCCGTGTTGAGTATATGATAAAGATTGTCCCCGTGTTGAGTATATGATAAAGATTGTCCCCGTGTTGAGTATATGATAAAGATTGTCCCCGTGTTGAGTATATGATAAAGATTGTCCCCGTGTTGAGTATATGATAAAGATTGTCCCCGTGTTGAGTATATGATAAAGATTGTCCCCGTGTTGAGTATAGGATAAAGATAGTCCACGTGTTGAGTATATGATATAGATTGTCCCCGTGTTGAGTATATGATAAAGATTGTCCCCGTGTTGAGTATATGATAAAGATTGTCCCCGTGTTGAGTATATGATAAAGATTGTCCCCGTGTTGAGTATATGATAAAGATTGTCCCCGTGTTGAGTATATGATAAAGATTGTCCCCGTGTTGAGTATATGATAAAGATTGTCCCCGTGTTGAGTATATGATAAAGATTGTCCCCGTGTTGAGTATATGATAAAGATTGTCCCCGTGTTGAGTATATGATAAAGATTGTCCCCGTGTTGAGTATATGATAAAGATTGTCCCCGTGTTGAGTATATGATAAAGATTGTCCCCGTGTTGAGTATATGATAAAGATTGTCCCCGTGTTGAGTATATGATAAAGATTGTCCCCGTGTTGAGTATAAGATAAAGATTGTCCCCGTGTTGAGTATATGATAAAGATTGTTCTAGTGTTGAGTATATGATAAAGATTGTCCCCGTGTTGAGTATATGATAAAGATTGTCCCCGTGTTGAGTATATGATAAAGATTGTCCCCGTGTTGAGTATATGATAAAGATTGTCCCCGTGTTGAGTATATGATAAAGATTGTCCCCGTGTTAAGTATATGATAAAGATTGTCCCCGTGTTGAGTATATGATAAAGATTGTCCCCGTGTTGAGTATATGATAAAGATTGTCCCCGTGTTGAGTATATGATAAAGATTGTCCCCGTGTTGAGTATATGATAATGATTGTTCTAGTGTTGAGTATATGATAAAGATTGTCCCCGTGTTGAGTATATGATAATGATTGTTCTAGTGTTGAGTATATGATAATGATTGTTCTAGTGTTGAGTATATGATAATGATTGTTCTAGTGTTGAGTATATGATAAAGGTTATCCTTGTGTATGTGATAAAGATTGCTATCATGATGAGTACAGATCAGTTCACCATTAAACACACGTGATTGCCCTTACCCCTGTCCTTCAATAATGCGAACATGCGGTACTTTCTTTCTGGCTTCCGATTTACTTATAGGTCTGAAACAGACACACGTTTTCTCCGAGATTCTATTCAATCCTCTGGCCATCCGTCTTCTGGAACTTCTTCCTACAGAGAACAAATATAGCCTTTGTTAGGAAATTACAGGAATGATAATGAAAGATAAGAAGAATCAAAAGGTCAAAAGGTCAAAAAGTGGATCGACCAGACCGTGGTAGGGGATTGACCGTTTGGTCAGCCGTGGTAGGAGATTGACCGTCTGGTCAGCCGTGGTAGGGGATTGACCGTCTGGTCAGCCGTGGTAGGGGATTGACCGTCTGGTCAGCCGTGTAAGGGGATTGACCGTCTGGTCAGCCGTGGAAGGGGATTGACCGTCTGGTCAGCCGTGGTAGGGGATCAGACCGTCTGGTTAACCGAGTGACGGGATCAGACCGTCTGGTTAACCGATAGACGGGATCAGACGGTCTGGTTAACCGATAGACGGGATCAGACCGACAGGTTAACCGATAGACGGGATCAGACCGTCTGGTTAACCAAGTGGGTTCAGACCGTCTGGTTAACCGTGTATCGGGATCAGACCGTCTGGTTAGCTGAGTGCCGGGATCAGGCCGTCTGGTTAACCGAGTGACGGGATCAGACCGACAGGTTAACCGAGTGACGGGATCATACCGTCTGGTTAACCGAGTGACGGGATCATACCGTCTGGTTCACCGTGTGACGGGATCATACCGTCTGGTTAACCGAGTGACGTGATCAGGCCGTCTGGTTAACCGAGTGAAGTGATCAGGCCGTCTGGTTAACCGAGTGACGGGATCAGGTCGTCTGGTTAACCAAGTGACGGGATCAGACCGACAGTTTAACCGAGTGATTTGATCAGATCGTCTGGTTAACGTGTGACGTGAATAGACCGTCTTGTTAAACGTGTGACTGGATAAGACCGTCTGATTATCAGTGTGATGGGATCAGACCGTCTGGTTCGCCAAGTGACGGGATCAGATCGTCTGGTCAACCGAGTGACGGGATAAGGCCTTTCGGTCAGTTTTGTGACGGGATCAGACAGTTCGGTCAGTTTTGTGACGGGATCAGACAGTTCGGTCAGTTTTGTGACGGGATCAGACCGTTCGGTCAGTTTTGTGACGGGATAAGGCCTTTCGGTCAGTTTTGTGACGGGATCAGACAGTTCGGTCAGTTTTGTGACGGGATCAGACCGTTCGGTCAGTCTTGTGACGGGATAAGGCAGTTCGGTCAGTTTTGTGACCGGATCAGGCCGTATAGTCAGCTTTGTAGCAATTACTTACCGAAACCGCTACTTGAAATGCGTAACGGGATAACAGCCTTCGGCCAGTAGTGTCTCTCTGTCCGTCTCGCCGCCCGTATTTTTCGGGTATGCTTATTGTGCAGCCTCAAGTATTTCTGTATTATATTCCGAAGTGTTTCTGATAGGTTAATGGAATCTGTTGAGTTTACTTCCATCTCCCTTTTCAAAAGAAATAACTTAATTTCAGTCTATACACAACAAGAAACGTTATGATGCAATGCACGGTATTAACTTCACTTCATTCCATTACACATTACGTCACAAAACAGATAAAGTACAGTTTGTGTACCAGGAAATTGGATCCGAAAACAAGTTAGAGTAACGAACGTAAATCCACTTTCATTTAAGCATCTCATTAATTTTGGCATCATGACGTATTTATCAATAATCCATAGGTAAGTAGTTTAAATAAATGTACATGCATAATATAATGATATATTAATGTAGGTAGTTTGAAAGATAGGAAAGAGGGATATGATACAGGGATGAACAGGGGGAGGGGGATGCTTGTGTCAATGAAAAATATTAAATATATTTCATTATTTAATGTATGGTAATAAATTGCACGGTTTTGCCACTTAATACACGAGGTTGAGAAAAAATATGTGCATAATTCAAACTGAGAATGAATTATTAATATGAATTCCATTAACATCAGGATTAAGTCTACACGTTGTGTGTTATCGTTTGAATGCAGTGTAAACCTAGTTCAAAATCTTAAGTCATAGAATAGATATCCAAAAAAGATATGGAATCCGTATATGTACAGTCATAACTGAATTAAGTTCGTGAGAGAAATGAAATTCGTATCTGTACAGTCATAATTGAATTAAGTTCGTGAGAGAAATGAATCCGTACACTAGTTTTACATGTAAAAACAAATATCCCTCTTTAATACCGATGTGAAAAACAATGTTATCAAGTGGAGTATGACCGAAGTGTTAAAAATCAATATTTCATTTTTTTTTCTTTGCATTTTTATTATCTTTTTTATTTGCTTTTTGTATCTATTTTTCAATTTTACATGTTTTGTTATCATTTCGAATTAACACTAATAGTAAATGAACTTGGATTAAGATACAAACCAACATCACATTTTCAATTTATAGGTCAGACATTGTTTATTTATTCAAGTTTATTATATCTTTATCTAATCATTATATCAAAATTTTTGATCGATCGATCGATTGATTGATGGACTGATTGATTGATCGATTGATTGATGGACTGATTGATTGATTCGTTGATTGATTGATTCGTTGATTGATTGATTGATTGATTGATTGATGGACTGATTGATTGATCGATTGATTGATTGATTGATTGATTGATTGATTGATTGATTGATTGATCGATCGATCGATTGATTGATTGATTGATTGATTGATTGATTGATTGATTGATTGATTGATTGATTGATTGATTGATTGATTGATTGATTGATTGATTGATTGATTGATTGATTGATTGATATTTTCATCGATTTATTTATCTATTTACTTGATTCAATTTGTTCTTAAATCTAATTACAATGTATTTAATTTTATTTCTTTGATAACAATTATTTTATTCTTTTATTTATTAATTTTATTTTATTGTATTTTATTTATCATTCTTTTATTATGTAAGAAAGTACAAGACAGTTGTAATTACGCGAACTGTGGGATCAGCATCAGCATGTCACCCTCGAAGGCAATGGCTTCCTGGTCCGGAATAAATGTAGCGGATGTAAATGTTCCAGGCTCTAAAACAAGACAAAAACAACATAATTATTAAAATCATAATTTTCTATACAAACGAAATGAAAAATCTGAAAAAATGAAATATCAACATGTCTTAATGTTAATCGGATAATGCTTGATCGAATTCAAGAAATGTCGTGTTCTCGAATCAAAGTACATGGATGACAAAACTACGGAAGCGTATTCCGGCCACGTTGTGTTTTATTTTAACTGGAAATTTCGATTTAGTAATCAGAAATTTTGAGTTAATAAGTCGAAATTTCGAGTTAATATACTAACTCAATATTTCAATAAAGTTAAGATTTTAAAAAATATTGAATTATCGGGTTTGTGCATCTTCCCATCTAGATTTTGACTTTTATTTCAATCACTTTTGATTTTCCTCTGTCGCCTCCCAAGCTTCAAAATGTATGCCCTTAGCATCAATGAATCAGTTCTAGAAGGACGAAACAGCTGTATGATGTAGCATTACTGAATCAGTTCTAGAAGGACGAAATACTTGTATGATGTAGCATCACTGAATCAGATCTAGAAGGTTACGAAAACCTGTATGATGTAGCATCACTGAATGTCAGTTCTAGAAGGAAAGTACCTGTATGATGTAGCATCACTGAATCAGTTCTAGAAGGACGAAATACCTGTATGATGTAGCATCACTGAATCAGTTCTAGAAGGACGAAATACCTGTATGATGTAGCATTACTGAATCAGTTCTAGAAGGACGAAATACCTGTATGATGTAGCATCACTGAATCAGTTCTAGAAGGACGAAATACCTGTATGATGTAGCATCACTGAATCAGTTCTAGAATCACCTGTATGATGTAGCATTACTGAATCAGTTCTAAAAAATACGAATTACCTGTATGATGTAGCATTACTGAATCAGTTCTAAAAGGATTTCAATACTTTTGATGTTTCATTACTGAATCAGTTCTAGAAGGACGAAACAGCTGTATGATGTAGCATTACTGAATCAGTTCTAGAAGGGCGAAGCAGCTGCATGGTGAAGTTTAACCAATTGTTCAGCTCTGCTGTATCTAAAGGACCTCTTTCACGAACAATGGAATTTTGCCCACGACCCGATTTAATCCAAACCATGTGACATTGATAGCACCCCAATACACTCCCCTGGAATAGCACTTAAACAATTCAAAAGGCCAATAGGGCCTGAATTCTTATCGAATTTGTGACATTTACTGAGGGTATAAGGTAAGGTTCAGAAATGGCTCCATAACAAGGCAAGGGTTCATCGCAAGTCTTCTTATAATCACTTATTTTGTTCATTGGAAGCTATTTGTCATTTTAAGCAAACATTATTTGTCAAATTTGGCATAAGAAAGAGGTCCTTTGTATTTTAAGACGCTTTTCAATTCTGTATCTTTTGCACAATCTTCAAATTTGCAGGTAGTAAACACAGCTGGTGGAATTTTGATTCATTCGAACAGTGACACGGTTCAGAATAAAATAAAAAACGCACTTAAAGTTGGTCTTTAATCATCAGCTGTATGAAAATTGATAATTTTATTGAAACATGGGGCTGCCGCACCCCCACCCCCTGTGTCTTTAGTAAAACCCTTGAGGTTGTACGTAGTAGATATGAAATTGATGCAGTAAAAAAATAAAATAGTGTTATTTGCGCAAGAGCTTGAAAACATTTTCTACAGGCAAACTCGGGTTCAGTTTAACTAAGGCAAACTACGAACAAATGTAAGCTCTGATGTTAATGAGTACTAACCGGAAGCTGCTTCGATTACTTCGTCTATGGACCGACTTGACTTCAGTTTTCTCGTTAGGATCTGAAAGTACAAAAAAAAATCAAATATTATTCCTACCATACCATACCTAGTACCATCTACCTGTGATGTCATTGTGTTGTCAAATGAAACGATGTAAATATGTAAAGACGTTCGTGTTCCTCTGGGCCTAAACGGTAAGTGAGGGTTAAGCGCTGGTAATGGATAGGTAAACTACAAGGCCGTCCGGATGATGCATGTAGCAACATGTAATCCTTGAATGCGTACATAAGCTAAATATGCCTTTTCAAGGTTATTATCCTGTCCAGCACATGATTTGTCAGTGTGATAGCACTTTAATAACGTTCCTGCTTTAGAGTTTGACCTATGACTTCAGTGTAAACGAGGATCTGAAACAGAATAAATATGGGGGTGTTGAGAAACAACTATTGAAATCTTTTCACAACAAGAAATCAATTATTGATGGTATCTTGTTTGCAATATTACGCCCGGTAATTCATAACTGTGTGGGACGCGTCAGTCTTATGTGTTTTTAGTGAGTAGCGTAAAAAGTATCGCGAGCCAAGTCAGTGTCACATGTTCTAAACTGTAACACAAAGTTCATTGACTCATGTCTTCCTCATTGCATCACTCACTTATGTAACAATGTAAGTAGGAGAAGCGACAACGTTACAAACAAGAAATGGAGAATACAACACCTATTTGACAAAGAAAGAAGTAAGGTACCAATGTTGATAGCATAGTTTGTGTAATCGATGTGAAGCCTCGATTCTCCAGGGGTAACAATCACTTTCGATCTCTGCACCCCTGGAACATGTCATGGCAAAATTGATGGTTATACGTGCGACACCTTGTGAACAAGATGAAAAAAACTAGTTTGATCCTTTGATGTACATCATACGAATCTCGGGGTCGCAAAACGTATATTGTAATGACTGTGTGGAGTTTGTTATCTTCAAAAGGAGCGCACAAGTCTATGATTGGTCACGTTTCTTTCTCTTCGAACGAAACAAATTACTTCGCTTGTGCCTTCTGTTTTGCCATGATAAGTTCCAAGAGTGCTGAGAGCGAAAGTGATCGTAACCCCTGGAATATCGAGGATGGACAGAACTGTTTGGAATATTTCAAATATTTTCAGTGTAGGACAAATACGTGTGTATACGTTCGGAACGTTTCGGATATTCAAAGTCTGCGACAATGGTGAGCAAAATAGTTTTCTTGATATTGATAGTGTTCGACTGCGGGTATCGGGGTGTTTCAGATATTTACAGTGCACGACAGAGCTGTTTGAAATATTTAAAAAATTTCTAGTGTGCAAGCAAGATGTTTGGGGTATTTTAGATGATCGTAGTGTACGGAAAATTGTTAGTAGCACTTCAGACATTTACAAAGGATGACACAGGCGTTGGGGGTTATTTAAGATGTTAACATGTATATTGTATAACCGCAGTGTTCGGGATATTTCAGATGTTTACATATATATTGTATAGCCGCAGTGTTCGGGATATTTCAGCTGTTTACATGTATATTGTATAGCCGCAGTGTTCGGGATATTTCAGCTGTTTACATGTATATTGTATAGCCGCAGTGTTCGGGATATTTCAGCTGTTTACAAGTATATTGTACAGCCAAAGTGTTCGGGATATTTCAGACGTTTACATGTACATTATATAGCCGACGTTGTATTTTGCAATTCAAGTATAACATAACATCGACATACTTGAAAGTGAAATTGTAGGACTACATGTTTATTCATGATAATTTCACATTTCTTCTCGGTCCAATGATTCTCGTGACAGTCGATTTGTATTACGTCTCTTGATTGAAAAAACCGGGTTAACTAGGGTTGTGACGTTGGTTGAATACACAGAACAAGGAACTGAATTGATAAAAAATAATAAAACATTTTCTACTCCGAGCTGATGAAATAATGATTTTCTTGCGCTTAAATATTAATGATTGTTGATACGACAAAGTAGTGATAATAAAATGCTGAGATAAATTATATGATCAGATCAGTGTCACCAAGATGTTTTACATTATCACAATTCGTGAGCGTGGAACTATTCGCCTGTGTATTTATCACTAGATATTTTGAACGAACTTTCGTAACAAATTTAATATTCTGGTAAGTGAATTCAACTCCGGCTAACTAAAACCGTCTCGGATTTGTTTACTGTCTTCACCGTAGTTAATGTTCACTCGTGATGTTAATAACATGCACGTGTACATTAATTTGAGGTTATATCAGTGTAAATGTAAATTTTTTGCATTTAATATGCGTGTATTGTGCATAACAGAAAAATAAATAAGGTTTGTTTGCGATTGATGCCTATTGTACAAGAAATCTCAAGAACTAAAATACAGAAAACCTGGCAACAATGTAGACTTCTGTCTGGGTATAATGTAATCGTGTCTACAATGTAAACTTCTGTATATTGTACAGTAAACCTGTGTACAATGTTAACCTCTGTATATTGTACAGTAAACCTGTGTACAATGTTAACCTCTGTATATTGTACAGTAAACCTGTCTACAGTGTATAGCTGTATATTGTACAGTAAACCTGTGTACAATGTTAACCTCTGTATATTGTACAGTAAACCTATGTACAGTGTTAACCTCTGTATATTGTACAGTAGACCTATGTACAGTGTTAACCTCTGTATATTGTACAGTAGACCTATGTACAGTGTTAACCTCTGTATATTGTACAGTAAACCTGTGTACAATGTTAACCTCTGTATATTGTACAGTAAACCTGTACACAATATAAACCTTTGTATATTGTACAGTAGACCTATGTACACTGTAAACCTTTGTATACTGTACAGTAAACCTGTGTACACTGTAAACCTTTGTATATTGTACAGTAAACCTGTGTAGAATGTAAACCTCTGTATATTGTAAGTACCTCTACAGTATATTATATTGTACAGTAAACCTGTGTACAATGTGTACAATGTTACAGTAAACCTGTGTACTGTATATATTGTACAGTAAACCTGTGTACAATGTTAACCTCTGTATATTGTACAGTAAGCCTGTGTACAATGTACAGTAAACCTGTGTACAATGTTAACCTCTGTATATTGTACAGTAAACCTGTGTACAATGTTAACCTCTGTATATTGTACAGTAAACCTGTGTACAATGTTAACCTCTGTACATTGTACAGTAAACCTCTGTATATGGTACAGTAGACCTGTGTACAGTGTATACCTCTGTATATTGTACAGTAAACCTGTGTACAATGTTAACCTCTGTATTGTACAGTAAACCTGTGTACAATGTTAACCTCTGTATATTGTACAGTAAACCTGTGTACAATGTTAACCTCTGTATATTGTACAGTAAACCTGTGTACAATGTTAACCTCTGTATATTGTACAGTAAACCTGTACACAATGTAAACCTCTGTATATTGTACAGTAAACCTGTGTACAATGTTAACCTCTGTATATTGTACAGTAAACCTGTGTACAATGTTAACCTTTGTATAATGTAAGCTTGTTTACAATGTCAATTTTTGTATAAATATAATTGATAAGACCTATCGATGCCTACCTTGTGCAGCTTTTTTAAAAGCGTTGATTTTGTCCTCATCAACTCACTGTGTCGTGTATCCTGTGTCATTTTGCAATCTGTGTAAATCACTATTGTACACAAACACGTGTAAAGTAGTAGAGAAATATTTGTCATTGTTTACAAATGTACTGTGATGGAGTTGTGTCTGTGTCAGTGTGCACCTGTATCTTTAGTGTAGTCAGACGGGAATCTGTTAGCGCGCTGAGTGTATTTCGCAATATCTGATTTGTCAATGTATAATAGGGCACTGGTGTCACTTTCGTCGGTCCGTAAATAGCATGCGCGTGGGGTTTACCATTCTTATTATCATATGTGCCGCCAAGCGGACAAAATTTTCACTGATTTTGGTTGATATAGAAATTAGCTGCGCTGCTTATTTGAACTGTTTTGGAAGACAAAAAACTACTGGTACAAACTTGAGAAAAAAACAATGTTGACAAAAAATCAGTCGTACGAAGAATTACAAAAATCTGAGGGGGGGGGAGGGAGAGGAGCGGAGATGGGGGATGAGGGAAGGTGGATGGGGGTCATATTTTGTATTGGTCTTTATTTGGTAACTATATATATATTTCATTTCTTGAAAATTGCGTAAATAAGTTCTCGATAAAACACATAACTGTTCGACTGTTTAATTAGTATGTAAATCGGTTGACAGGCCCTGTCACATTGTACTTGTGATTCACCTACATGGAGTAAAGTCCTGAGTCTGTGGTGATAATTCACGCTTTAAAATAGATATTGAATACCTGCATAAATAATACACTGACAAGGTCAGCTGTCAGGTCACTAATGGAGCCTCAGCAATCATGGCGATAATACATGTATACAGTCCGAGGGAAGGAAACATTCGAGAGTTAAAACCTAGTCTCGTTAAGATAATGACTTGTATGCTACAGACATTGTGGTGAATGTTTGAAAAATTGTGTTTCTAAACACTTTTCTTTACGCTCACGTTCAATGTCGTGGATCTGAGAGAAAAACGATAACAGCATATTTAGTTTAAACAATATTTTATTCGATAATCAGCAATTTGACATATACAGATAAACAGGAAAACAAGTTTAGAGGTAATATTAATTCCTTTCCCGTGTACATACAAAGGCAAATATAGATCTTCGGAACTATAAGATCTAACTTCAACATTGAATGAAAAAGTAATATTTACACATAACAATAGCATCTATAAACAAACGCACGTGTGGTGAATAGAATAACAAAATGCAATTTCTAAAATAAGTAGTGACGCCTTAACTTATTGGTCTGTAAAAAAAAAGGTTACCTTTAGAATACATGATGTACAGTTTGATAAATAGGACAATATGTACAGGAATATTAGCTAAAACGTTTACTAAGTTTGATATAGATTTGTACAGTCAAGAATATGTTTGTTTTTCTGTTAAAACATGTTTGATGTAAACGTCAACACCCTAGAAAAGTCGTCAATAAATATCGGTATGAAATCGTTACACAAACAAAAACAACGAAAAAATCGTCAACACCAAGGAAAAACACAAACAAAAACAACGAAAAAATCGTCAACACCAAGGAAAAACACAAACAAAAATAACGAAAAAATCGTCAACACCAAGGAAAAAACCAAACAAAAATAACGAAAAAATCGTCAACACCAAGGAAAAACACAAACAAAAATAACGAAAAAATCGTCAACACCAAGGAAAAACACAAACAAAAACAACGAAAAAATCGTCAACACCAAGGAAAAACACAAACAAAAACAACGAAAAAATCGTCAACACCAAGGAAAAACACAAACAAAAACAACGAAAAAATCGTCAACACCAAGGAAAAACACAAACAAAAATAACGAAAAAATTGTCAACACCAAGGAAAAACACAAACAAAAACAACGAAAAAATCGTCAACACCAAGGAAAAACACAAACAAAAACAACGAAAAAATCGTCAACACCAAGGAAAAACACAAACAAAAATAACGAAAAAATCGTCAACACCAAGGAAAAACACAAACAAAAATAACGAAAAAATCGTCAACACCAAGGAAAAACACAAACAAAAATAACGAAAAAATCGTCAACACCAAGGAAAAAACACAAACAAAAACAACGAAAAAATCGTCAACACCAAGGAAAAACACAAACAAAAATAAAAATGTTAGTACACAAGATAAAGTCGTCTACATTCTTAAAAATAGTTACTTAAGGAATGTTGTCTACAAACGGACACCAAATCGTCAATACATAACAAAAAATGCCAGCATGCCAGATAAAGTCTACATGTTTAAAATAAAAGTCAGTTATTATAGAAAACTTGTCAACAAAAGAGGAAAACAATCATCAACAAAGAAAACTTGTTTTAGGTTGTACGTAAAAAATCTTTTCCCAAGAATGAGATTTTTGTCTGTTAACTCGAGGCTTTCTCAGGTTTTAGGGTAGCACGTAAAAAATCTTTTCCCAAGAATGAGATTTTTGTCTGTTTAACCCGAGGCTTTTTCTGGCCTTGGGGATGGATGGAAAAAATCTTTACCCAAGAATGAGATTTTTGTCTGTTTAACCCGAGGCTTTTTCTGGCCTTGGGGATGGATGGAAAAAATCTTTTCCCAAGAATGAGATTTTTGTCTGTTTAACTCGAGGCTTTCTCAGGCTTTAGGGTAGTACGTAAAAAATCTTTACCCAAGAATGAGATTTTTGTCTGTTTAACTCGAGGCTTTCTCAGGCTTTAGGGTTGTACGTAAAAAATCTTTACCCGAGAATGAGATTTTTGTCTGTTTAACTCGAGGCTTTCTCAGGCTTTAGTGTAGTACATAAAAAATCTTTTCCCAAGAATGAGATTTTTGTCTGTTTAACCCGAGGCTTTTTCTGGCCTTGGGGATGGATGGAAAAAATCTTTACCCAAGAATGAGATTTTTGTCTGTTTAACCCGAGGCTTTTTCTGGCCTTGGGGATGGATGGAAAAAATCTTTACACAAGAATTAGATTCTTGACTGTTTAGCCCGAGGCTTTCTCTATCTTTATGGTTGGATAGAAAAATTCTCTACCGAAGGAGAAAATGTTTGACTGTTTAACCCGGGACTTTCATTGGCTTTAGGGTTGGACAAGGATACATGTAAGGATTCACAAATGCGTCATAAAAGCCCATTACTGTTTCGCATCGTGATCGGTCGGTTAAATTTTCATTACCGTATAAGCTCAATATGGCAGTTACAACACGTGTTCTATATCATTCTTGATAACACATAACAATTGATTAGTGAAAACAATGCGTGATTGTATATCCACAATAAACAGTTGACAGTTTTCCTATTTACATATATTTACATTCAGTAAGTTTGAAATCTGCATAACGAAATTGACCTTGTCATTGTGAATTTAGATTAAAAAAAAACACCAGAATTACAAACTAAAAGGTCCTTTTATAATTAATTTTTTATTGTTTAGTGAGTATCATCGCAAGGGAAGTAACTCCAACTATTCCACGAGTTATCTAAGGCTGTTTTAGGTGGATTAACAGGATCTTACCGTAGCGTGAGGATAATACAGAAGAATCTATATCACGTGGCTTTACCGAGGGTTAGACAGTCGGAAATCTCCTCAGAGGGTAAAGATTTTTCTTCTTGCCTTCAAACAAGGGAATGACCCTTTTCTGTCCTATATCACTTACATGATGAAATAAATGAACAACAAGACAATGCTGATAACATGAGAAAATCAGACAAAAATCGATATGTTTTTATTTGATCGATTTGTAATCAATATTATTCAACCGGAAGTGTGGATATTTCTGTGCAATGGGGTAAATTGATGTATTCTAATCTTCTTTCGCCTTCAAGAGTCTATATTGTTAGTCTTTTGGGTTTTTTTTCCTTTTTTCAAGTTCTTTGTTCACTCTGAACTACCCAATATTTACGTTTTCATGGTGCCACGAATGTGATAATGCTCTTGTGTTTTTGTCTTGTTTTTTTTTAATAATTGTACCAAATCTAATGAGCAAATTTAGTACAACGCAGAATTCCACGTGAACGGTATCAGGGATGATGAGACTGCATGTCAATATACCGTTTGTGTTTTTATAAGCCAATAGTTTGACTTTGCCTTTAAAGAAGAGTTTGTATTGAAAAAAATAAAACCTTACAGTATACATTCATCTATGTAGGTCAAAATGTTCTTAAGAAAGAAAAAGAAACACATGAGCTGAGTCAACACAGTAGTGAAGAATTAGGCCTGTACTAACCGTAAGGGTAAAAACCTAGTTAACATAACATGATATTGACTCAATACACTTCCAGGCAGTTAAAACTTTCTTCCCCTCTCATCCTTCGCAGCCTCGGCAGTTAATGGTATGACATATTGCCAGAATCACCGAAGGTGAGCTCAGTATTAAAGGTTACGCTGTTATAACGCGATATGCCCCTACTATTTAGGACGTGAAATCCGTTACAACGGATCGACATATCAAAGAAAAACAACCTGGTTGATGAGATCACATCTCTTCATTTATTATCACAATGTATAAAATATTACACAACCTGAACACTGACAATATAACTGATACAGACGTTTTTATGGTATGACCTTTGACGTCATGACTAATTAAAACAAGAGACCTAGAGGGCCTGTATCGCTCACCTGGTTCTTTATGACCAACAGTACTATATCTGTGCATATGTTCCACGTTTAACACATTTGACCCCTGTGACCTTGACTATGGGTCAAGGTCATTTCTTTTTGCAAACTTACTTGGACTTCATAAAAGGAACATACTGGCCAAATATAACGATTCTAGGCTTTTCGATATTTCAGCAGAAATTGTTTAAACGTTTTAACACATTTGACACCTGTGACCTTGCAGATTGGTCAAGGTCATTTCTTTAAGCAAACTTTGTAGGACACCATAAGAGGAACATAGTAGCCTATTATAATGATTCTAGGCCTTCCGGTATTTGGGGGGGGGAGTCGTTTAAAGGTTTTAACACATTTGACTTGTGCAACCTTGAATATAGGTCAAGGTAGTTTCTTTTCGCAAACTTCGTTGGGTTTCATCAAAGAAACCTTCCAGCCATATATAATGATTCTAGGACTTCCAGTATTTTGGAAGAAGTCGATTAAATGTTTTAACACATTTGACCTCTGTGACCTTGAATATGAGTCAAGTTCATTTCTTTTTGCAAACCTTGTTGGACTTCATCAAAGAAACCTTCCAGCCAAATATGATAACTCTACGCCTTTCGGTATTTCAGAATAAGTTGTTTAAAAGAAAAGTTGACGGACGCAGGACGGACGGACGACGGACGCCGCGGTATGACATAACCTCACTTGGCCCTTTAGGTCAGCTAACAATTAACACCCTACCACAAAGCTTTCCTCTTGATGAATTGCACAATTAAATATCAATTCTTTGTGAAGCATATGAAAAAGTTTACCGTCCTAGTTTTTGTCAAATAAAAACGAAATATTGACGTTTGGTAATATGGGGTTGTTTGGTAAGATGGGGTTGTTTGGTAAGATGGGGTTGGTTGGTAAGATGGGGTTGGTTGGTAGGGTTGGTTGGTAGGAATGGGTTGGTTGATAAGATAGGGTTGGTTGGTAGGAATGGGTTGGTTGATAAGATAGGGTTGGTTGGTAAGTTGGGGTTGGTTGGTAGGAATGGGTTGGTTGAAAATATAGGGTTGGTTGGTTGGTAGGAATGGGTTGTTTGATATGATAGGGTTGGTTGGTTGGTTGGTAAGATGGGGTTGGTTGGTTGGTTGGCTGGTTGATAAGATGGCGCTGGTTACATGTTTTTCGTTTACACGGAAACACTTTAAGCAGGGAAACTGCTTTATAACCAGGTACACGCGTACTTGTTTCCGCATAGAGTTAGAATTACTACAATGTCTGTATTTTCTAAGATACGTTGACCGGGCGATATTTTCGTTTCGCGGAGAGGGGAGGGGGAGATATCTCGGAATCATTCTGGAAACTGAAAGTTTGTTCGTTGGTTTTATTTATTTATTTGTTTATTCTTATTTCGGCAGATTTTTATGTGCATTGTCAGTTTTATAGCAAATAATTAAACAGAAAAAGTCCAGAGAGTGCTACTTGTTTAGCACAAATTTAACTCGAATTGTTTGGTGGAAACACATAAGGATAGTCTGGACAAGACGGCCTTGTTTGAGATGTCCGTGATGGGCAGTTATACATAATATTGACCACCTGTTTATCGCCTCGACTCATAAAACGGGTCCGTCCCATAGTCCTGAGATATTTTTCCTTATTACCAGACCCCTTAGGAATAATTGTGTATTCGCCATTCACACTGAAAGCCTGGAGAAAAAAAAACAACAATGTGTTTAAAAGGATAAAAACAACAGAAAATAGAGATATGCCAACAAAACGTCTCCTTTTTACCGTCGCTAGGAACGTGACAATACCGACTGAATTACCAATAATTATATGACGAGTGCAGAAGACGCTTACCTATCCGGAACACCTGTTCTTATTTCCTTCATATTGACCCTAGTATAACCGAATTTGAATAAAGATGTTGTTGCTTTATCAGTGGTGATTTCTTCGAGGTTTTTTTTATACGAATTCATTATCAAGAAAACAAGGCGGTAAAATATTTACAAAGATATTTAAACAGAAAATAATTAAACAAATAAAAGGGACATAAAATCCAATATTCTAGAATATGAAGCATTTTGTTATTAATCATACATTCATTAATCAATGGAGTAGAAAAGCGGAAGTAACAAAGCGGTTACAATTATCGCTTCCTGTGTGACAATAACTTCAACACGAAACTATACCCATTCGTATACTTACGCGATTACTGTAGTGCATAATACTTCTAAAATCATACGGAACTCCTCTGGAGTTGATAGTGTTGTAGCTAAAACGATTGAAATTTCCTCTCGTTCTCGGAATCACATTTTTGAATTTGATGTCAACATATTTGTCCCTGTCTGGTCTGGATTGTTCGTGAAATAGTCCTATCGCATGCAGCAGTTCGTGTGTGGAAATTCGCGACTGCAACAAAGAAAACTGTTTATGGGAAGGAACATAATGCATTTAACGCCACTGAGTCATGACAGAATGAGGTGACAGACATGTCGAAACTTTAAAAGAAGAAAAAAAAGAAATGATAGGTTCAATGACTGTTTTATTGAAACTAGCAGCAGCAACAACAACAAAAACAAAACAATAAACATAGGACACAAAATTAAATGCATTTAATACCATTGTGTCTGTATGCAAAATACTAACCCTTCTACATCTCTGACCAAGGACGAGATCTTGGGCGAGATAGCCGTGCCTCCATCTTACTGAATATCCTACGTATGATCTGCATCTAAAAGATGTTTAATATGTATGTTTAATTTGTAGTTACTGCTTTCAGATATAATTTTCTGTATGTAATCAATATGGCTATGCTGTGAATGTGAAATCAGCATCGTGCTTATTTGCTCCAAATTGAAAATTTTGAAAATGAATATAATCGTGCCTTTGTGTATTTGTGTGCAAAAATGAACGGCAGCAAAAAGACATGATTGTGAACAAAATACTGGATCGTATTTCTTGAAATAAAAAGTATACGGGGGTAAAATAGTCAAAATAATTCCATTTCTGCTTAACAATAACATCATTATATTAATCAGGCTATTTTCATACTTACAGAACAGAAACATCGCTGTCTCGTTTTGTATGTCCACAAAAAACTGAATATATAGAAGAGCATACGAAGACAGGTCACAAAGGCCTTGCAAAGTCCTCAATTTGTTTTTCATACAGATTGGTTACGTCTTGACTTTAAATCACAAGAATTTCGCAAGTTTGTAAGGATTTTAGGGAAATTGAGTTGTCGTCGTCATATTGTTCTACAGTAACTCTTTGTGCGGCATCAAGTCAGGCGTGTTTGATAGTCGTTAGTGTGCCTGTTGGTTCCATTGTTATTTAATATCTTATTCTCATTGGAAGACGTGACATTACTTTCTCGGGTTGACCAACATTTACATGGCGGGTGTCGTCGATGAAGCAGAAGACGCCCACTCTTCCAGAATGCCTAGTCTTATTCTCCTCGTACTATTTCAGGAGTTGTCAACAAAATCATAATGTAAACTCAAATTCCATAAAACAAAGGAAAAATATGAACAAAAGAAAGATTTACACGGAAACTCCTGAAAAAAAGTACAAGGAGAATAAGACCAGGTGTTCCGGAAGAGTAAGCGTCTTCTGCTTGCACAAAGCATCTCGGTAGGACTTATACATATGAATTTCATGACTAGGAATCCAAATTATATTTACCAGTCCCGTCAAATTTGAGTTAAAATCGTGATTACTTTTAAAAACAGAAGAAAAGGTTTAGGATGAAAAATTGATACTATAAGAATGCATATTTGTTTGACCTGCAAATTGTAGATTTCACTTACATCAGTGACAAATTGTATAAAGACACTTAACTATAAACAACGTAGCATACAACTGTAATTCTCGCCCAATTTTTTCCATTAGGGTTATCTCCCCTTACTGAATTATCACGCTCAGAGATACTTGAATACATCTCCATGTTTTCTGAAGAATAAACCAAATTAGCACTAACTGTATGTAGTAAAATTTAGATTGATTTTAGTTTCAGTTCCTTGGCAAAGTAAAAATATCAATATTATCAACAGAATAGTTTATCGCGGTGCTGAGTGTACCATAGTCTATAAAATTACACAAGACACTGACTGTAACAACCCATTACGTGCCCATATTTATATTTCGCGCACAGAGACTACTTGCGCGAGATGTAGATATCTGAGCGGAGAATACACGGGAGAAACATGATCTCCGGCGGTAACAATAGGGGCGTATGTGTAGTGTTACCTACTGCAAATGCCTATGTACGGGCCATTTCCATACAAAATACAGCTTGTGGCGAGTACTGTACATATAAACCCATTTGTAAGTATCATTTGTATACGTTTTGAAGCTGCCGTGTTGATAAACAGACACATATTGTTTGAATAGTTATTTATAGATATCGGGTATTAGTTGTCACGTGTAAAAACAGGTGCTATGATGTTGTGTATAGCGTCAAACGTCAGTATGATATTAGATTAATTAGTGATATGTTTTCATACCTGTAACATGGGCCATATCAGTATATTAAGGAGTCCTGGGCTGTATCTATGCATGATAATTTACTTAGTAGATAGGTCATTGTAAATATGTAATTTGATCCCGGATGAATTTAAAACATAGTAAGTGTATTATAACATTTGGTTTTGGAAGTATAGAACTGAATATTTCTATATAATTGTAGTTATGTCCAGTGAGGACTAATAAAGCTATATACCAGGCTTCAGTCCATGGTGAACTGGTGGATTAGGACAAAGACCAGGAGAAGAGTCTGATGATGTATTTTGATGTGTTGAGGAGTTCCATGTTGAACTGGTGTAGATACTTAGTATTTAGACAGGGCCAGACCGTTGGTGGAGTGGAGCTCTATCCTTTGATATTCTTTGTGGTACCGGCGATGTGGTGTCAGTGACGTGGTGTTGTGACGTGGTGTAGTGACGTGGTGTTGTGACGTGGTATTGTGACGTGGTGTTGTGACGTGGTGTTGTGACGTGGTGATGTGACGTGGTGATGTGACGTGTGTTGTGACTTGTTCCAAGGTGGAATGCTGCCCGCCTATAATGACTATTTTTACAGTGCATTACTATAATGGAAAACAGCCCATTAATGAACTATTATTACTTAGTGTGGTGTTTATAACGTTTGTGTTGTATTCTTAGGTATTTGTTTGAATGCGAGTGTAAATAGTGTAAATGTTTGTAGCTATTGTTCATATTGTAGGAAATAAATGTAAATAATGTAAACATGGTGTTTAGTCCTGCTGTCACTGCTATCATATGTACAACATGCTCATCCCGTTACACTGACTCACCATCATCAAATAGACAACACAGATCAATGCAGGCGAAAATCTTGCGAAACCGACCAACCGAATAGAGATATTAATTTAGCTTTTTCTCTACAAACTCTTCGACAATATTGGACCAAGCTCGTTTAAATTGGCAGGTCTTCGCTATTTCATCTGCTTTACCCTCAAAATAATATGTCATATTTTACTGCATTATGGTCGGTTTTTCAATATTACTGTAGAAAAAAACAGAGAATGTCCATTTTGTCAGGAAAGTGACCACAAACTCTTTCACGTCCGAGCAGGGATGAAATCTGATTGACTCTGGTAAAACCGTACTAACCTTTCTTGTGTGAAATGCTTGCATTATTTTTGTGACCAAAATTGAAATGTCTGTGATGTGTTTCGGCTCCCGGTGGTTAAAATTTTTAGATGTTATCGCGATTTGGGAGGGGATTCAGTTTAATCAAAATGGTTAAAAAGGTTAGCGAGATTTAAAGGGTTACCTCGTGTTTGTGATGTTTAAAGAGTTTAAGATGTGGTGGAGTTTCAATGATTACCGCGGATAAGTGAAGTATAATGTGTGTAACAAAGAGATGGTGAAGTTAAATGGTTACACCTGAATACTGAGGTTTAAAGGATTTTGTCGGATTAGGAAGGTTGAATGGCTTTTAAATGAATTAGCGAGGTTGAAAGGTTCTAAAGTTGGTGAGATTATAAGGCTTTAAAGCAGGGTAATGTGGCTTCAAGGGTTTCATCGGGTTTGTGAGGTGAAAAGGCTCTTAACAGTGTCAGTGATGTTGAAAGGATTTAATCCGGGTTAGTGAGGTTAAAAGGTTTCGAACCGGGTTATTGAGGTTAAAAGTATTGTAACTGGATTAGTGAGAGTTAAAGGGTTTAAACCGGGTAAGTGAGGTTCAGAGTTACACCAAGTTAGTAAAGAGTAAAGGGCTAAACAGAGTTGGTGAAGTTTAAAAGAAGTGAGGTTAAAAGATTTTAAACCGGATTAGTCAGTATATCGGCAACATTTCTTTAAATCAGAATTTGAGATAGTTGTAGTTGATAGAATCATCCCAAAATCTTACCCATTTCCATCGATTATTCGTATATGCGGCTTATGCGCAAGTGCTTCCGCTTTTGAAATGATATCAAAACATATACACGTGTTTTCCGAAATTCTGTTCATAGATTTAGCTATCCGTCTTTTGTGTCTGCTTCCTTAAAAAGAAATCGCACACTTGAGAAATAAACACAGACAACACAGGGACAGCAAATAATGACACATAACACCGTCCTAATATTAACTAAGAAAGTTATAGGAAGGCTGTCCTCGCTTGGATGGCTAAAGTAATAAACATTCAATGTATTATGATGGGTACTAAGCTGAATTTACTTGACTCAAAGATTAAAGATTCGAAATATTATGATAGGTACTAAGCTGAATTTAATTAAATCGTCTGTGTTAAATGCTTGATAAGAATTTTGTAAAAGTTGCTATTCTAGATGAATAGACTGATTAATTATCGCGAAGTATATATACATAGTATAATAAATTTTACCGAGAAAAATATAGACTTATTAATTACCTACATGAAAAAGCGTCTTTTTCAAGCTAAAATCGTGAACATTTGAACATTATTTTTATTGATTTACAGAAGCCTACTTACGAAACCTGTTGCTATCGATCCTAATTGGTACTATGCCATTCTGCCAGACCCTCCTGGAGTCCCTCCTTGCTGCTCGCTCCTTCCGAGAGAGAGGCATCAGTGATTCTATCCAACTTAGCAGGGTCATGTTCTTCTTCTGTTTTCCCAAGTTTTTCTCCAAGGCTTCTCCAAATAAATCCAATGTGCTTTAAAGTAAAACATCAGGGTTACCCTTATTTGTATATTTCAATGTTCCGTGTTTCTTCAGATAATGAAGTAGTTTGTTAATAAAGACTTATGTAATTTGATAATTCTCTGGTCGTTTATATTGTGTAAGAGTTGAACATACCTTTTGATTTGATTAATATTATTAACATACCTTTTATAGCCAATGAGGTTTATGTTACAAAAATTGACACAATATTTACACATTTCTCTGTATTTTTGCGAATTGTTCTATCTGCATTAAAATGTCTCCGTCAAATTTGACGATATCAGTGCCTGCTAGTAACTCCGGTTCGTTAAACGCAGTGCCAGGTACTGAAATAAATAAAACGGAAATAAATTATTTCATTTTTAAAACTTGATTTCATAAGGTTAAAGAATTAAGTTACGTTAGTAGATAAAGAGGAAATCTTTGAACGTCAGATTTGATGACGTAATACGCAAATGTAAAGAAGAAAGATGACGGTCCCTCATGGGCAACCCAAAAAAAAATTTAAAAAAAAAAAAAAAAATCATTGAAATATTTAATCGGACTGGGATGAAGCTGAGGAGGTCACAGAAATGGTAAATGAAACCTATGTGACGTCAAATGTTTCCCTACGTGATCCTATTATATATATTATCATATCTATATATTTTCGTAAAATAATATATTAGTCTCGAGGAAAAAATATGTAAATAAAACTGAAAGAAAATAAAACTTAAGCATTTTAAACAAAATGGCTTGATGAACAGAGGACTTTGGAACACTCACCAGCAGCGTCCATCAAAACATTATCGATTGCTTCCGTTTCATTCACTTCCCCGCCTATTTGCTCCATATCTGTTACTCCTGGAGTCAAGACGATATGTGGATTCTGTGGATTTACCAGCCACACATACATATTATTTAAGATAAGATAATACTACATGCATGTTTGCAATGAATTTTGCTTTGGATTTGCGCGTTGCTTATACGGTCAGTTTCCCATGGCCAATCACTGTACAATGGCCGATGATAGTACAAAGGAATAGCACCTTTAGATAATTTAGAGTTAGACACAGTAGAGCCAAACAATGAATTAAAACTGCATCATACAACTGTTTTGTCCTTCTGGGACTTGTCAGTGATGCTAAGGGCCTAAATTTTGAAGCCTAAGAGGTAACGAAAATCCAACGTGGTCAAAAGAAGTCAAAACTTAGACAGCAACCCCATAATTAAATTGATTTTATTGTTTTTATTTATCTGATAATCAATAGCAAAAAGGAGGTAAAGAAAGGCCATAAAGGTGGTATGGGGTATAGCTCAGAATCAATTCAATTAAAACATATGATGTTTGATTTAACCGAGAAAAAAAACCCAACAAACAAACAAAAGACATGTTTACAAATGAACTAGTAATTTTCTTACATACTTACTTCTGTCGAGTTAGTTAGCGGCACCGCATCTGAAACCTAAGAGAGAAAAGAATTTATAGAACACATTAACATGGTAATTATATTACAATACTTTAAGATGAAAAAACACAAATCGTTATCTCTTATTAACAGAATACGTGCTGTGATTAGTTGCAGCAAAGATAAGATTGAGACAAATAAAAATACATCTTCGGAACCATGATTATTACAGTTAGCATATTTATATATGTGCATTTAAATATTGTATCTGATTGGATCATATCGATCAAGTGACATATCTAACGTCGTATCTGATTTGATCAAATCGATCATGTGACATATTTATCAACGTATCTGATTGGTTCAAATCGATCATGTGACATATTTAACATCGTATCAGACGGATTTGATCACAATTATCAAGTGCTAGAATTTGCAGATGTCAATGCTATCTAAATTTTTGTCTGAATTTAATTTAACGGTGATCACGTGAAAACTTTTTCAAATATATTGAACAGCTTGAATCTTGAAATTACAAATTTGCATAGTGTCGACTTAAAGAAAAATGGAGGAATCATATATTTCATATTATTTGTATTTTCAAACCAGAAAATCAATACATATTCCGCAATTATTTTTTCTTTGCTTCCACGAAAACAAAGAAAAAACAATTACTTCCTAGCACAGTGAAGTATTCTTGTATTTTCTCTGTAAGTTTTACTTTCTAGATATCCATTTTCTCAACGAAGTGAACCAATCCGATATGTATCACGATATTAACATACGTTCATTAGAACTGCCAAAAGTTTCGCTTTGGATTCATTGGAGGAGTTACTGGCGATGAAATTTGTGATGCGGTCCAGAATCCTGCTAGCCCGGGCTGTATGTTGGACAAAGTGTACACCAGGCGAGTTTATCAACACCAGCCCAAAATTCAGCCACACTATACAAACTGGATGTAAAAGCATTTTCATGGCAGCTGAAAATAATAACATGTGAATTATGGGACGGGTGCTCAATTTCTGAATCTGAACTGCTAGAGAAGGCCCAACGTGAGGCAGCAAGAATTATCACAGGTCTGCCATCCTATGCTAATATTCATTCTTTAACTTTTGAAACTGGTTAAGAATCACGGTCTGCTAGGAGAAAGAGAAGGAAACATCATCTTTTATATAAAATGCGTACTAACAAAACTCCTGAATATCTATCTTCCTTACTTTCCTCTACTGTTCAAGGTGAAGTTCGTTATCCTTCGAGAAACAGTAATAATTATAGAATCCCATTCTGTCGTCTTTCAACTACCATGTCTTCTTTCTTGCCGTCTACTCTTCGGAGTTGGAATACACTTGATAGCTCTATCAGGTCATCAGCCTCGCTTAACTAATTCAAAAAGTCTTTAATACCTAACGATCTTCCTTTGTCTCCTTCTTACTTTGGTATTGGTAACCGTAAACTAAACATTATTCATACTAAGCTTAGACATAATTGCAGTTCCCTTAATTACGACTTATTTCGGATGAACCTTGTGGATATCCATAGCTGTGTATGTGGAAATATGTGTGAAAATGCCTATCACTTTTTCTTTGAATGCCATCGTTATAATGTTCACAGAAATGTCCTTTTCCAACGTTTAAATGATATGAATTTACAAGTTCACTGTGACTTAGATCTGCTCCTTAATGGAAATGATCAACTGTCCCCTGAAACAAACTCTGAATTTTTTTTTACGAGTCCAACATTTAATGAAAAGTAGCAACAGGTTTTAAACCATGAAACTCTGTTATAATTTTACTTCTGATGACGTCATCCCTTCTACCCCCTACCCCAACCCCCACTCCACCTCTCTCTCTCTCTCTCTCTCTCTCTCTCTCTCTCTCTCTCTCTCTCTCTCTCTCTCTCTCTCTCTTTAAAAATATATTAGCCAATATTTATGTAAATTATTGATGACTTAATATTGTGATGTTTTTGTTTTGTAATGTATTGAGGAAAGGACAACTATAAGTGGAAATAACTTGTGCCGGATCCTTTGGTAAATAATTTACAATAAAATATGTTTAATTCAAATTCAAATTCAATTCAAATAATAACAATAACAGTAAATATCGTGTCTACATTACTCTACTTTCCTTAATAGTAAATATCAATTTTTTTTACATCAGCTTCCATTAATATTACTGTACGTCTAGTAGAACTTGTTAAAACAATTATAGGATAACAAAGTAGACACAGTTGAGCCAAATGAGGAATCGAACTTCACCGTACAGATAGTTCGACCATCTCAGAATTGCAAAGGGCTTATATTGTGGGAACGAAGGAGCCGACTACGAAAAGTCCATATTGGTCGAATTCAATACCAACATCCGAAAGTTCGACAGTTTCCATAATTTTCGAAAAAACAAAAGTCTATGGCGAGTTTTATAAATCGACAATGAAATTGGAAGGAATTATGTATCGTTGTTGTATTTGAAGATATTTCATTAATAAATATTACGCTTTATTGCTAGATTTTCTTTCCTGTATGGGGTGTGGGAGAATGGGATTGATACTTTGATATTTTTCAGCAATTTTTCTTTATTCTGCTGAATTTCTTAAAACTCCTAATTTTTCTTATTTCATTGTTTATTTACTTTGTTATGATGATATATATATTGTTGAAAGTTACACATCCTTTATTTCGCTTATTTTGGTTGTTTCCTTTATCTTACTTGAAAAGCTTGATAAATATCATCAGTCAAAAGTCTTACCCTTGGGGACCACAGAATATAACTTAGCTATATCCTGCAGCAGCCATTATATCATCTACCGGCATTTCGTCTCATGACCTAAAAATAGGAAAGAAATAAAATAATTACAACCATATAGCTATTCATCTGTAACATACACATTTTTTTCTTAAACACAAAAGGGATATTGGGAAAGCTTCATAGTTCATCTCTTCAATGATCTTCCAAATGTAATCTAGAACAATAGTTAGGACCTGGTGCGTCATGGGCGATAAGGTTATGTAAACCTCCTACGTGTCTCTCGGAATGTGATAGTTACCTATTTTGCCAACCCCAAATACGTGCATGATATATAACGGCTTATTTAGAAACTTTCGTGCAGTAGCTAATAAGGCTCCAAACGCTTTGCGAGTTGCCTCCCTTACGTCAGTCTACGTGCACAACATCAGAGCCCATTAATGAATTAAACTCTCATACAGGTGTTCCGTCCTTATAGGACTCGTCAGTGGTACTAAAGAATTAAATTTCGAAGCCTAGGTGGCAACCAACGAAAGTCTGAGATGAAGAGGTGAACAATGGCAATAAACCGTATGTAATGAAAGGAATAATGAAAAACACCCTGTCACCTTTGGGGTTCGAACTACCGACCCTTCGGTCTCTAGCAGGACACTCTATAATAAACGGAAAATCTCGCTGAGGCTAGTAAGGCGACCTGTACTCCCGATTTCTACATTAACAAAATGGAACCGGTTTGTCAGGAAGCAGATATTACGGAGTATCCTATGTTGTTGTGGTTGTGTTTTTAGACAAGAAAATAGTTTTGGATAACATGTGATACGCCGCTTTCCGTATGTCATTCATGGAGGTAACCACTAGGCCAAATAAGGTGAAACTGCCTCAAACAAATCATCGCTACTGGCGAAAAACTAAGCAAATAAGTAAACAAACAAAACAAGTCTGTTGATATTCAAACAAATTTTATACACATCTAAATTGACGAATCTCATCTTAGCCATAAATAACATGCCCCACCACCACACCACCCCCCCCCTCCCCCAATTGTTACAATTGGATAGTGTGAATAGAAGATATTCCATGCGATTAAATGTAACCATAAATCAAACCAATCGTCTGGCATGTGACAGCTGTACATGATAACTCAGTTATGTTCATTTCAAGACATACTTGAATGTATCTTTTTGTAAGGTATACCTCCACATATGTTTGAATATCAAATTATTCATATTCTCTTGAACATCTGCAGTGACACACTGAATCGAGACAAATGGGGTGATGACAAATACAGAATACATATATGCCTCCTGTATATCGGAAGAAAGGCAAGCATTAGCAATTCGTGCAAACTAGTGCTAATCAGTGAACTTTGTATGCGTGACTTTCAGGTGATAATATATTAACTGCTATAAATCTGCCAGAAGCTAAAGTTCATGCGTACTGGAACAGAGAAACTAACACAGAAGGTGTGCCATGACCAGCATTTCATTCTTTTACACGAAGATCAGCATCTCCGTATATTGGAGGCACCTCAGTGTCTGGTGCATAGACGCCAACATTCGACAGAAAATGTGCCATGACCTGCATTTCGGTTTTTTTTTTTTTTTTTTTTTTCTTGTTTTTTCTTTTTGACACGAAGATCAGCATCTCAGTGTCTAGTGCAAAGAAGTCAACATTTGACCGTAAATGTGCTATGACCTGCATTTCGTGTCATTTTTGACACGGAGCTCGGTATACACTGACCTAAGAATATTAGAATATGAACTAGGTATCTGTTAAAGCGGCTATTACCTTAGATTTCAACATCGGGAAATGGATAATTCGGCATATGAATAATAAAATATATCCATAATAAAGCGATACATGCACCTATAACGTCAAATATATTGTTTTTCGTACATATTTTCGACGTCGGAACATTGTTTATCTTGCCTATTGTTTATGAAAATGTTCACGTTCGGTTTATTACGAAGAAAGCCGAGCGGGTCACGTGACTTGTCAAAGAAAAAATCGATAATTCGCGGGCGCTTAACTATTGGGGACCCAAAGGGGGTAAACACAATCGGAAGAGCAAAAAATACTCATTGTGCAGAAATGCACAGGAATTGATACTTTGTCTATACACATTAATATATATTGCACTGTTTATTATGAAGGCTATGTTTATCATCACGGTTGTTATTCTTACAGTAACACCAGTACCGTCATATTTTTTAAACTTAGAGCGAATACCCCCAATTGGGCCCCACCTTGTAGTCAACAACAAACACACGTTGTCGATAGTAAATTCAAACGAATAACACAACTATTTTCATTCACACTTATCAGATAACACTTTTAGTAGTGTTGTTCATAACATATTCACGCGTCAAATACTGGATATTGGATTATAATCAATGACGGGGGATACGTTATAATTATAGGGCTGACGTTAAGCTAACCAGTCAAGCAGCAGCTTCACAAATTCCGAATCCATATTCAGTCCAAGATCCGCCTTCATTTTACGCCATCTATCGATCTCCTGTCTAATATAAATTTTTGCTTGTCCTCTTTTCTGGTCTGATTCCTTCCTCTTACGCTTTCTGGCACTTTCTGTAAGGTAATTTTTAGGTCCTTGTCGCCTTTTCGTATTTACGTCCGCCATATTGCTTCTTTCTCGGCTTATACGCATGCGCAGCATCAGGGTTACGAGCGGTAATGTATGATCAAGACCGCAATGTTTACATTCTCTATTTTTTAGATATCAATAAAAACGGTTGCAGTGACTTTTAATTTTAGTAATTAACAGAAAGTTTTGTTTGTAACATACTATTGGAAAATAGAACGTTTTATATCGTTTTTTCGTAATGTTTTTAACATTATAGTCGCTTTAACTGAACATTAATTCATTCATACAAAAACAAACAACATATTAATCTACTTTGATAAAAAAATATTAACAAGTTCACAAAAATCGTTATCAAAAATCAAGATCGATGAGACATGGAAAAAATGAAAGAGTAGAGATGTTTATAATGACGCCATTGAAAAATAGATACAAGCAGAATGGGGTAACATGTTCCAAAAGAATAAGCGTCTTCTTGCCGATGATCTCCGCCATTAAAAGCCTGGTCAAATCAAGAGCGTCATTCTATATCATGAAATGACCCGAAACCAACAAACATACTTACACTACGGACATAGAAACCATCTAGCTTTACAGCACACAAACAAATTGGATGCTTTCTTTTCATACTGTAGTAGCGACCATATAATTTTACCATAGTCTTCATCCACTTTAACTCAAAACCCTGTCGTGTGGGTATATCTATCAGCTGTAAAGATCTTTCAATGAAAACGGTATATTATAAATAAGGTATTGAATAGAAAATTAAATGTGAATTGTAAACACTATTTAAAAGTAGAAATCTGTTAATATTTGCATAGTGAATAATCTTTAATTTTCGTTGGGGACTATTTTCCGTTGATAAATCACGGGTACCATAAATCGACAAACATAAATCTCCGCGAAACAACAAACACAGACAGTAACAGATTGTCGAGCATTTGTAATACTTCTTAATTTCATGAATGCTGTTAATCCATGAAATCAACTTCCAACAATGAGAACAATTTTGCTCCCCCCCCCGCCCTTACCTCCTCCCCTCCTCCCCTCTCCCCTGCGGACGTCATCGAGCCAGAAGACGCTTACCCTTACGGAACACTTGGTTTTATGCTCTTTACATAGTTTCAAGATATCCGTGTAAATATTTCCTTTCTTGAAATTTCCACCTAGTTTTCACGAATTCCAGTATAAAATAGATATTTTGGACTCAGTATTTTATTCATTTATTTAATTTTTATTTTTTTCATTTATTTATTTTTGTTTTTTTCTTTTCTTTTTTTTCTGCTTTAAATAAATCTTAATCATATAATACTTACCACCCTTACTGGTGTGACCTCTGGCAGCGAAACATATACAGTCTTGACTTACACATTTATAACTGTGATTGGTCAAACGGATCGGGAAACATGAACATCTATCAAAGTTGTGAAGTTTCCCGTAAGTCGCGCCGTTTGTTTTAATTCTTGTGCTATTTATAACACCAGGCATTTTAACAATGCTAAAACTGTGAATATTTAAATAATATCAAGCATATCTAAACATCTATTATACTATAACGAGAACCACGTGGCAGGCAATTAAAGTAGAAATTGTTCATTATCTTCCCGACTGGAATATAAATGCTTTCCTTGAGGATAAAAAGATAATAAACAGTATCCGTGTCATTCGGTTTTATTTTAGGATTCATGACGGTGACTCGACTTTTTTCAGATAATCCTTGTGTCAAGTCGTATTTCTTTGTAAAACTAACACGACTGTTGACCAAAAAAAATCCCTACTAGTGTATAACTAGGTTATGTAACTTCGGTTAGTAACACGTGACTTACAGTCCCCTATGTTTGTTGTTGAAGTGTATAACTAGGACATGTTAACTTCTGTAAGTAACACATCACTGAGAGTCCCCTGTGTTAGTTATTGAAGTGCATAACTAGGACATGTTAACTTCTGTAAGTAACACAAGTGTATAACTAGGACATGTTAACTTCTGTAAGTAACACAAGTGTATATAGGACATGTTAATTTCTGTAAGTAACACAAACGTATAACTAGGACATGTTAACTTCTGTAAGTAACACAAGTGTATAACAAGGACATGTTAACTTCTGTAAGTAACACATCACTGAGAGTCCCCTGTGTTAGTTATTGAAGTGCATAACTAGGACATGTTAACTTCTGTAAGTAACACAAGTGTATAACTAGGACATGTTAACTTCTGTAAGTAACACAAGTGTATATAGGACATGTTAATTTCTGTAAGTAACACAAACGTATAACTAGGACATGTTAACTTCTGTAAGTAACACAAGTGTATAACTAGGACATGTAAACTTCTGTAAGTAACCCAAGTGTATAACTAGGACATGTTAACTTCTGTATGTAACCCAAGTGTATAACTAGGACATGTTAACTTCTGTAAGTAACACAAGTGTATAACTAGGACATGTTAACTTCTGTAAGAATCCCAAGTGTATAACTAGGACATGTTAACCTTTGTAAGTAACACCGGTGTATAACTAGGACATGTTAACTTCTGTAAGTAACACAAGTGTATAACTAGGACATGTTAACTTCTGTAAGTAACACAAGTGTATAACTAGGACATGTTAACTTCTGTAAGTAACACAAGTGTATAACTAGGACATGTTAACTTCTGTAAGTAACACAAGTGTATAACTAGGACATGTTAACTTCTGTAAGTATCCCAAGTGTATAACTAGGACATGTTAACCTCTGTAAGTAACACCGGTGTATAACTAGGACATGCTAACTTCTGTAAGTAACACAAGTGTATAACTAGGACATGCTAACTTCTGTAAGTAACACAAGTGTATATAGGACATGCTAACTTCTGTAAGTAACACAAGTGTATAACTAGGACATGCTAACTTCTGTAAGTAACACAAGTGTATAACTAGGACATGTTACCTTCGGTTAGTAACACGTGGCTGACAGTCCCCTGTGTCTGTTACTGAAGTGTATAACTAGGACATGTTAACTTCTGTAAGTAACACAAGTGTATATAGGACATGCTAACTTCTGTAAGTAACACAAGTGTATAACTAGGACATGCTAACTTCTGTAAGTAACACAAGTGTATAACTAGGACATGTAAACTTCTGTAAGTAACCCAAGTGTATAACTAGGACATGTTAACTTCTGTAAGTAACACAAGTGTATAACTAGGACATGTTACCTTCGGTTAGTAACACGTGGCTGACAGTCCCCTGTGTCTGTTACTGAAGTGTATAACTAGGACATGTTAACTTCTGTAAGTAACACGTCACTTACAGTCCCCTGTGTTTGTTATTGAAGTGTATAACTAGGACATGTTAACTTCTGTAAGTAACACAAGTGTATCACTAGGACATGTTAACTTTTGTAAGTAACACGTCACTGACAGTCCCCCGTGTTTGTTATTGAAGTGTATAACTAGGACATGTTAACTTCTGTAAGTAGCTCATCACTGACAGCGCCCCCTCACGGAGTTTAGATACTAAATCATCACGTTTAAAACACAGGGGGGCTTACCTTTGCAGTGATAGACTTAATATACAGAGATTGATCACATCTCAGGACGCAATGTACTCATAGCTTAATATGATGAATTTCATTGTGACTTTAAGCAAAAAGCACACTTCTTTGTTTTTCTAATGTTCTCTTATGACTAAACTTGAAGTAATCAAAACAGCTGGAAATGCTTGTTTCTATAAGATACCCAAGACAGAAGATGAATTCGGTGTTTCGTGTTACTGTTAAGCTGCCTATGCTATCACGGCAAGCGTTATTATCTTGTCCTACAACGACAACACTGATTCTTACTAATACCTGGATATACAGAGTGCCGAGGTATTGGTCTAGAAATAACGTTATTGATCAGGAAAAATACCTATACATATTTAGGTTAAACTGTTTAAAGTGTCATCCAGCTAATACAATAATACCTGGCCCAAGTGAAGCAAGATATTGACCCGTTTAAGATGAA